GACTGCAGCAGGCCTGTGGCACTTGCTGGTCGAAATCTCTTCCACCTTCCTGATCTGGTTTTTCAGCTGTGTGGCTCATTACAACTTAGATAGCATTGAGAAGCCTGAGAATCCCAGGACACTTTAAAAAAATTAAATAATCATTTTATTAGGGGATCAAACAACTCATCACAATCCGTACATATGTCATTTGTGCCCAGCACATTAGTACATATGTTGACTTCATCATCTCACAACACCCGCTTTCCACTTGATCCCTTGGTGTCAGCTCATTTTTCCCCTCCCTCCTCGCTCCCCCCTCCCCCTGAACCCTTGATAATTTATAAATTATTATTATTTTATCATTTAATGTGCTTATGTAGAACCTGTACATGAGGCAATTGTTCCCACAGAACAAGGAAATATTGAGTGATTTAAAATGAGGAAAGGTGTGCTTTGGAGTAGTATTCTTTCACCATATTTATTCCATCTGTATGCTTAGTAAATAATCCGAGAAGCTGGATTATATGGTGGAAGACTTATTAACGACCTGCAAGATTCAGATGACACAACCTTGATTGCTGAAAGGTAGGAGGACTTGAAGCACTTGCTAATGAAGATCAAGGACTGCAGCCTTTGATATGGATTACAACTCAATGTAAACAAAACCCAAATTCTCATAACTAGACCAATGTGCAACAGCATGATAAACAGAGAAGAACTTGTCAAGGATTTCTTCATCCTAAGGTCTAAAATCAGTACTCAAGGAAGCAGCGGTCACGAAATCAAATGACCAATTTCATTGGGTAAATCTGCTGCGCAAGATCTCTTTATAGTGCCCTGTCCATTTTAAGATTAAAGTGTGCCTGACTCAAGCCAATTGTCTCATATGCACAGGAAATTTGGACACTGGACAACCAAAGAAGAATGGATGCATTTGAACGATGGTGCTGTTGAAGATTATTGAGAGTACCAATAATTATTAACAATAAAAGATTATTGAGAGTACCAATCTGTCTTGCGAAAAATACAGCCAGAATGCTCTGGTCACAGACAGCATTGTACTTCAAGATAGATCTTGAAATGCTCTTTTTGATTACGAATGTGACACCATTCCGCTTGCATGTGTCATCAGAGCATAGTATGACACTAGATCACAGTATCCCGTAGGAAGGCGGGGGTGGGGGGAGCGAACCAAGGCATCCATTGCTTGGCGCTCGGCTTAGCCAGGCTGGGGGCATGTGAATAGGCCATCTGCCTCGCCGCTGGCCGCAGAACGTGAGCCCAGGGGTCACGCACTCTGCGCGAGGAGGTGAGGACCGAAGTGGCTGCGAGGTTCGGCGGGAGGTGGGGCGTGAACTCGCCACACCGGAGCCAGCGCCGAGGTGGGGCCTGATCCTGTGGGCGGTGGTGGGCCAGGGAAACCTCTGTGGGGTCGGGATAGGGGCGCGCTCAGTCGTTGGAAGGCCGCCTGGGACGGAGGCGTCGCCTCACTCCTAGGCCGC